TTTTTTCAGAAGGTTTGAGTTAGTTCGAAGTTGAACACAAACAAATAACTGTTATGGGAACAAGCTTCCTTTCCCGATACATTGATGAGAAGAATGAGAAGAATGAGGAGAAAAAGTTGTATAAAGTTTTAATATACCCCGACACTTGTTTACCACTAGGAGCTGGTATTGTGTCATTTTCCATAAAATCGTAACTTGCTGAGGCATTCTAAAAAAGCAAAATCAGTTACTTTTAGGCATAACAACACTACAATAAACCAAACATGAAACACTGTAAAACAAGCAACCCTGTAAATCTAACGGCTGGGAACATAACATAATACTTCCTTTTCGAGTTCAACTTTGCTCAGTCTTAGCCTCGATTGTGTACAAAGGTGTTCTTTTCTTTTTTTTAAGGTCCATTGTATAGTACGAACAATACGAGTTGATTAAGATTGATTGCCACGGGTTTTGGTTGAATAACTGAATATTATAACGCACAACGAAGACTAAGGCGGCTGAGCAAAGAGAACTCGAACTGGAGTATTGCAATACACATCCTGCGTGTCGGGGTTTCTATGGAATGCCGTTGCTGCCAAAAGAGATCGAATTTTTTTTAGATGGGTTGTTGTTGGTTCAGATTAATTTTACAGGGTGGAAATATAAAAAGTGTTCAAATTTTTATATTTTAGGCTTAGTATTCGCTAGCGAGTTCTTTGTATATTCTCACTAGCGAGTTTTCTTTACGACAAAAATCTCGCTAGCGAGTTTTTGTGCTTTAATTTCTCGCTAGCGAGTTTTCGGTATATACTCTGGCTGAATACCATGGATGCACCGGCATGAACATGGTATAAGTAACCACCCCTAGCCATCCTTTACCATCTCTAGCCATCCTTTATCATCCCTTACCATCCCTAACCCTCCTTTACCATCTCTAGCCATCCTTTACCATCCCTTACCATCCCTAGCCACCCTTTGCCATCCCTAGCCATCTTTAGCCATCCCTAGATATGGCAAAGAATGGTAAAGGATGGCTAAGGATAGTAAAGGATGGCTAGGAATGGATAAAGATGGCTAGGAATTCAAACCTGCTTTGCTGAACTATCACCTCCGTATAAATATTGTTGATAAATCAATAAATCAATCAATCAATCAATAGATAACTAGGGATGGCTAGAGATGGCTAGGGATGGCTAGGGGTGACAAGGGATGGCTAGGGATGGTAAAGGATGGCTTGAGATGGTAAAGGATGGCTTGAGATGGTAAGGATGGCTAGGGGTGGCTAAAGTACCTACCCTATACCATATACATGCTGCTAGGGAGAATTAGCGTGAAAAAAACTCGCTAGCGAGAATTAAGTGTGAAAAAACTCGCTAGCGTGAAATTAAATCGATCCCTTTTGGCAGCAACGGCATTCCATAGGTTTCTGTGTGATTCAATACTCGCTAAAATCGAGATTTAGGATATCAGTTTGGAAGATTTAAGGAGGCACGGGTACTTATTGCGCCTTCACATGTTTTCAGTTCGACCCCGTTGAACTGCGCCACTGCTGTACTTGCGGTGGTGATAAGCGATGACAAATTTTTATGCAACCACTAACTTTAATACATATATCACTAATAGCCACTACTGACAATACACTTCTAGTTTTTGTGTCTACTGCATGTTAATAAGCAGTAGACACTATGCCATCGAGTTTACCCAGATATACTTCATATCCTATTTAACTAGCGAAAAATATAGTTAAAGGGACTCTGAGGTGCCAGACACATCATAGCTTAAAATGTACATCAAACCTTGTTGATTTTGAAAATCGATATGAAAATTCCATGAAATGCGTTTTTGGGGGTGATATCGTCCGTCAAAGTCGCGAAATGACTTAAGCTGGGCTCCCTGTGGAATATCRCGGATTTGATGGCTTGGGATGCCAGGGCTGTGATGACGTCAGATAGTGGAACATGTTGAATAGCTGGAGTTGAATCAGCCAAATTTCGCTATTGAAGTATGGCTGTTCCTTATCAATTTGGGCCGGAAATTGCTTGAGGAGAAGAATATAATACACCCGATGAAAGTGTGAGCGAGGAAAGTGAGCTAGAAAAAGTGGCGAACGAGGAAAGGCTTCAAGGAATCGATTAAAGTCAGTAATGTGTCGTGATGGAACCAGCTAGCTGATATGTGTTTATGTTGTTAAATGAGCTTATTAGGTAAAAGATTATTAAGTAAATGAAAAATCAAAAAGGTTTGATGTACATTTTAAGCTATGATGTGTCTGGCACCTCAGAGTCCCTTTAAATGACATACGATATAACTGACATAAAGTTCATCCCGGTGTAAGGGTTGTAAAACTTCGGATTACCTTCGGATCCCACGTGCACAGCTAGCGGCGCATGGCGAGGATAGCCGATGTTATCCGAAGTCCCGCGTACTGGCTGGTCAACTTGGTTGTTCTGTTTGCGACTGCTTACGACTTTCTATCGACTGGGAAACGTTTGACCAACGTTTCAAACATGATTTGGTAGGATTCAGTGATTTCAACAAGATAATCGCAGTCATTTTTGTAGTGAATTTTATCTGTTTTTTGGAACAAGCTTAAGGCACACAGGTTTCATGAATGTGTCAAGTGTTGTTTAATTAAAGTGCTTTCAGGTATTTTCAATATCTAGAAAGAATTTATCGCAAAAAACGGCGACAGAATTGTTGTGTTTGTGCTACACGAAGCATGTCAACAATGGCGCTTTATGTACGATTGTTACAGAAACGACGTCATGTGAAACTGACTCAGATTTTTACRGTGACAATATTTTAGCCCTTTAATGGGGATAACTGAGCTCCGTAAGCAGAATATTAAGCCCTGAATACCTGCAAGTGAATATTCTACATATACATGATTCAAAAATGTTGCTGTTTATCTATCACCAGTAKACACATGTACTCATCGAGTACGTATTTTTTTACTGGGTACTACGCCACTTGTATTTTTCATACGAACTCATCCGGGACCTCATTGGCATATTTTCCATTTCCTTGCACGTGAAATTATCGATAACATCACTTCCGATGTTTTCCCGCTCACATTAACGCGCGTTGTGACAAGTATTTTTTGTTTCTGGATATGTCCATATATTTAAAAAAATTACACGTTGGATTGAAGAGATATGAAGTTTATCTTCTCCTGTTAAAAAAGATTTCACCAGTCCAAGATAAACTTTATACATTCGCGCAAACGCGTAATATCCTGCGTAACTCTCAAGGCCAATTTACACAAGGGAGCACATTAAAATTTTGTTTGTGTAAGGAGAGTTATTGTTCTTGGTTGATCTATCGCGCAATCCATCTTGTGACAGGCGTTCCTCGTAGTGTTTTGGTTTCGGCCGATCCGAATGGCTTACGATCGTATAAGGAAGGGAATGACAAATGTAAGATATTCGTCGGTTTTCGGAGCAAATTCGACAGCCCGACTAAAGCAAGGAACGCCTGACATGAAGTGTTGCGCGCACGTAAACAAGAACTACAAGGAACGCCTGCTATATCTTAGAATACGTGCGATAAAATCGAAGATAAACCAACACAWTCAAAATTTTAACGTGCTCCCTTGATTTACACGGTACAACCAGTTTTGCTTCGAATGGCGCATGCAACTTGCTTACGCAATGATCRCTACACGAATTGCGTTGTGTAAATCAACCCTACGACTTGCTGACAACGGCTGTATACGACAAGAAAAAAGTTGTAGGATTTTAAAACATGTTTTAAAACCTTCCGACAATCGTAKCCGAAAACRAAGAAAAGTGACRAAAWCTGTTACAATTTTCCGACGAAGGGGGTAGAAGAGTGAGTACTTCAAGTGGTCACAAAATGCGGATGATGTAAGCAACACCGAAAAACGAAGCGCTAAGCGAAAAATATAAAGAAGTCGAAGCCTTTACTTTTTAAGAAACAGAGCAGCTAATAAACTCGTGTGGAGATGACGAGGCGTTGTATAATAGCGTATCGCACTGATTCTAAAAATAGCTTAAAGACTCGGACAAACATTGCATTCTTTTTAACCGCTACGAGGATTATACGAACCGATTTTATTATTTTTACTTAAAGTTACAATAATAACCCATGTAAACTAAGATCAACTGCGATCGGCTGTGAAAATTATCTGCTGAARGTAAACTTGTAAGTTTGTTTGTCCGAATTTCGCCTTTGTCTTCGTTTTTATGACGTCAACGGTTGCGCTGCGCTATTAGCGTCACAAGGAGTATTTCAGCAAAGATGCCATAGCAAACCGAGAGAATTGCACACGATTTCATGGTGTCGTAAACTAAGAGTTGCGTGCGTGTAAATAACCGCTAAAATATAGTAAGTCTGTTGTGAAAGACAGTTGCAGTTCTTTTCAAAGTATACAAGCGAGATGWTGACGATACGATTTGTGTAAYCAAGAAGTATTTCTTTGGCGCTTTCCATCATCAGTTAAATATTGTGCTTCGCTAAGTGAAAATATTGTCTGTTCGAACTCTAATGTGTGGTTGAGAAAGCTAAAGCCAATAAAGTTTGTAATAGACCAGTTTCGAATTCCAAATTACCGCTGTGTTCCTTGATCACAGACTCATTTGAACAGGGTTAGCCTCGTATCAGTGTTTAAATATTCACAAATACCAACAGAAAAGGAAAGAATGCGCAACTTCAACAATACAAACATTTTGAAACTCGACGGACCTTGACTGGAACACGTGAATATTCTGCACAAACTCGAGGCTAACCCTGTGCAAGTGAGTCCGTAATCAAGAAACACAGCGGTAATTTGGAATTCGAAAGGGGTCTATTGAATTACAACGATAATGTGCTACCACTGGCCCTTAACTTGCTATAGTTATAGAAATAATGGCAAAAGTTATTATTTCTTTCCTTAGGTACTTTTTATTGTACAACGAGACCCCTTGGACTGACAAATATGAAGCCATTAAGCTTCACGAAATTGAAGTTGACATTTGAAAATAAAATCACAAATTAAAGCAGAGGAAAAAGCAAGAATGATTCTCCAAATGAAACCATATCTAATAGCTCCGAAGATTTTAATTTGCGTCTGTCGAATTATGGATACATACAGCACGGCWGTCTGCTAAGCATGAAAGAARCGTAAGAGTTGCACGAGTTTAAATTTATCATATGATTAATTTATTAATTTATTAAAAAACAATACGACATACTTACGTAGTTTCTTAATAATTCAGGATGATTTTYATSAACTCCATCATCGACTACTGCGACAACAATTCCCTTCCCTGTGTACGCTGGCCATACTGAAGTTACGCCAAATGTCGGATTACTCGGCCTATCCTAGATTTATAAAAATAATAAAAAAAACCAGCACATTTACTAAAAAAAACGTTTATCATTTCAAGGAAACTTTGGTCCATTTCAATAAAACGTTGGACCAACAAGACCCTGAGGGTAGACTGGGATACCTGGGTTGGACAGTTACT